CTTCTATGTGCAAATGGCTGTCGAAATTATAAAAAAAATGTAATATTTGCGATAAAAATCACCTTTTATAACGATGTTTTTTGTACTTAAAACTGCCATAACTTTTTCAAATATTAACTAATCAAAATAATATTTCTTTATATTGAAACCTTAGGTAATTTCCTTTCATTTGATATCATTTTTTTTTGAAAATCTAACACTTATTCTGCTCATGAGGGGGATTTAAAATGGCAACTTTTTTACAAAAATTAACTTTTTCAACGTAATTTTTGAAAATGTTCCGGAAATACTGCGTCCTTTAAACATATATCAAATTAAAGCTTATTTTATGTACTATAAAATGAAAAAAAAAATTTGTCCCGACACTTTATCTTCTGCATGTAAACGGTTGCCGTAGTTAAAAAAACACTATTTTTGTGTTAAAATTTTCGATTTTCAATTTTTAATTTTCAACTTAAAAATGCTATAACTTTTCGAAAAATGCATGTATCAGCACAATTTTTTTTTTCTAAATACATTATAAGTACATCTTTTATTTGACATAATTTTTATTAAAATTGGACAATTTCCCCTTATATAGGGGGCGTTCAAAACTTAAAATATTGTAAAAAACATAGATCTTTTTCAACTGAACTTTTGAAAATGTTCCGGAAATACTGCGTCCTTTAAACATATATCAAATTATAGCTTATTTTATGTACTTTAAATGAAAAAAAAAAAATTTGTCCCGACATCTTATCTTTTATGCGCAAAAGGCTACCGTATTCAAAAATATGCTATTTTTTTATTAAAATTCTGGGTTTTGTATTTTATTTTATTTTAAAATATCTTATTAGGGGAATAAACTGACTTTCATGAATATTATATAATTTCATTGACATAGAATAAAGTTCATAAGACATATGATATTATACTTATTAACATTTTTTACTTTTTTAAAGTCGAAAAAGTAATTTTTAAATTNTTTATTAAATTTTTTTTACTTTTTTAAAGTCAAAAAAGTAATTTTTAAATTTGACTTAGCTTAAATAGCTAATTTTAAAATGCGACGAAAGCAACGAACAGTTGATGACCCATTCACCTGTGTCTTTCACGCTTATTTCACGCTAAAAAATTTCATTTTTTTCAATTTAATAATGTCAATTTCAAACTTGCAAGTTGAACTATAAGTGATGGTAACAAATTCATTTTTTAGCTTCGTTGCGAAGCTGAGAAGGCATTTTTCATTAAAACTTTCACTTTAAAAGACAATAAAAAGTAGGTTCAAAATGATTACTTTTAACATATTAAAAATCAAAATCAGTATTAATTTAATACAATTTTTTTTGTTCTTAATTATTTTTTTTTATATGTAAATACTTATTTTTTAATAATAAGTAATAATATTAAAACTTAGAAGTAATAGAAAAAGTTTAATTGCACATTTGAAAACATCACGAAAAGTTTATTTAGAAAAGTATATTTTTTTTCTGATGAAAGTTCCTTTTGTTTAGTGTATTTATTCATAAGTAACAAAATTTTTTTATTAAAAAGTATTGCATAAATTCCTTTAAATTTGTATACGCATTAAAAGTATATGAATATACAACTCCTTTTTATTTTTATAATATCTCCGTAAAAATTACAATATTATATTATTGAATACCACTTTCATACTCAATTTAATTACTGTAATTATTATGTATTCATATATTATAGTTATAAATCGGGGTAAAATTAAGGGAATAAGTGTTATTGTTGTTTTTGAAATAATCTACCAATTTCATTTTTTTCTATTTAATAATATTTATTTCAAACTTGCAAGTTGAGTTAAAAGTTATGGTAATAAATTCATTTTTTTTTTATTAAAACTTTCACTTTAAAGAACAAAAAGAAGTAGGTTCAAAATGATTACTTTTAACATATTAAAAATCAATAATAATTTGAAAATAATTAATTATAAAAATTATATAATATATAATTAAACGAATTACTAATCTGAACATAATTAAGGAAATAGGAGTTGATGTTGGGTTGGGTTGGTTACATTTTTAACTTTATAATGCTATAACTCATTGAAAAGTGTACGAATCAACACAATTTTTTTATGAGAAATAATATTTTTTAATAATCCCTTTTTCATTCGACATACTTTATCTTAATCAGGGTATTAATAAGAAACTAGCAGATAATGTAGCTTTTGTAATTANGAACTAGCAGATCATGCAGCTTTTGTAATTATCCACCAATTTCTTAGAATTAAACACTATCTACTGATTTGCATCGAAGCGTTTCTTATGATAGTGATTTTAATCACTGTCAGATTAAATCTATACTGGACCCAACTATGCAACNTAGTGATTTTAATCACTGTCAGATTAAATCTATACTGGACCCTACTATGCAACGTTCCAACTATGCTGCGACTCCACTGTGCTGGGTTTTGTTATAATAATATTATTGTAATAATGTATTATTTTTATGTAATGGAATTGTATTTACAGTAACTAAAAAAAAAAAAAAATTGGAGTATATTTATTTAACATTCAGTAATTTTAGATAACTACTTGCCCAATATTATAGGATTATTAAAAATAATGACAGACATTAATAATCATTTATCAAAATGAAATAAATATGGTTATTGTCCTCTTGACAATATTATTATTAATAATTGCATTGATTAAGTTACAAGATAGATTAATTAGTTTTATATAATCAACACTTAAATATTATAATTGACGAATACTATCTAATTGAAAAATTTCTTCAGCGCATTTTAATTATAATATAATAATTTTACAACACTTATTTGTTAAAACATAAAATTATTTTTATTTTCTAAAACACTATTATCTTGTAAATATTATTATTATTTTAAAAGATTTGTCTTTTATCTTCCTTTAAAATTATGTCAATGTTATATATTATTTATATAATATTATTATATCAAAATAAAAGTACTATCTTCTTTTATTTTTAGGCAAGTTATGTCAAATTAAACATAATAACACATTATTATTTCAATTCAAAAACGATGACTTCAAAAAAATAGGTGATATCAAGGGAAAAAATACAGCTGATGATGATGAAAATAGAAACAAAATTATTAGACAGCAAAATCATTTTCAGGAAAATATAAAAAATAATTATAGATCTAATGATTATAAACCTTATCCTATATACCTGGTAAATTATATATTGAACACAAAAAATGTTTAAAATTTTAATATTTATCAATCAATTTTCAGATATTTTGTACCCTGATATTATATTATACACTAAAATATTTAATGATAGAATTATAGTATATTATGTAAATTGTATTTGTTTTAATTATTTCTATTTATTATTTTAAAATTATCGGTAAATAAATAATAAACTACATATATGTGCTAGTTTTATTTAAAATATATATTTATTTTTTTATTTAGTTAGACTGCTAAATGTTTTCTTTATAAGGTAATTTAACAGTTTATCTACTTTGAAAATTAGATCAAAAAGATAATTTTTGTCATTTTATCGCGGTTGAGGTTAGGCAACGATAAATAATATTATTACTTGGTATATTATTACTATTTAGACTATTACTAAAATGATCACAATATTATTTTAAGAAGGATGGTAAATTTTTCAAATAAATTGTACAACTTTTTATATTATTATATTAATTTTTGGATTTGGATTTTTTTAAATTATTTTATAATTTATACAAAGAAAAAACGTAGAATATAAATTTATTGTTCGGTGAATTTTAAAATAATTTTAAATTCAATCTTTTAAAAAAATAACAAAATTTAATACTTTATAAAATTTTAGTGACATAAAAAACGCTCAAATTTTTTTTTAAAGCAAAGCAGGAAATAATTTTTTCATACAATGGTGATAAAGAAGTAAAGTGTAGATTTTAGAGCTGTTATATTAAAGAATAATGAATACGATTACTCAAATTCATAATATAAATTATACTTTTTATATAAAAAACAATAATTTATCTTTATCGATGGTCTAATCGTGTCGGATCGGAACTCACCTTTCTCGCCTATCGATGATTACAAATACCGATCTACTCTCTTCCTCATACGCGACATAAATCTAACGGCTGGAATTTGTAGTTTAAATTCTTTCAATACTCATTGGCTATAATTGATAACAGCTATAATTCTTTACTCTTTAGAGAAGAAAACAAAAATGTGCATATTATACTTATGTACAGATTTAAAATTTAAATTAATTTTTAGATCAACACTGGAAGTCTTTTTATTATTTATAATAATGATCGTAGTAATATTATCTTATCATCTATGCTTATATGTCACACGTTACGAATATACAATGATAATTGAAACATGGTTACCTCCTTGAAAACATAAAATAATTGTTTAATTATGAGCAAAATCTGATTATTGTAGAGATTTTAAATCATCGCCTACGTGCAGGGTTACTCTCATAATTAGCCAATTAGTGTAAAAAACCTATAGTCGACAATGTAGGCAGTATTTTGTGAATACAACTAATAGACAAGTAAAGGTAAAGAAAAAAAATCTGTGTATGGTAATGGGTAAAAAAGGGAAAGCTTTTGACACTCCTTCTCACACTATGACCGAACATACTGTAGTAATTTAAAACATAATTAAAAGAAAAGATGAAGGGATGAATAATATTATAAGAATGTTATAAGAGAAAGGGCTAGATTGTGGTAGAACATGAGTGAATTACTACGTATAATATTCTATCGAGGACATGGTTCGAGGATTTAAAAAATAATAAGGTTATTAAAATAAATTAGCCACAAAAATGTATTTATAAGGATTGATAAAATTGACTCACCTTTTGTTGTTCATATTTAAATTTTTAAAATAGATTGTATTTATATAGAAATAATTTGATCACCAAAGTAAGATTTGTAAGTGTCAGGATGCATACGGCAGTCGAGATTGTTTCTTGCTCATCATTCACCGTATTGTGCTAAATAGTTAAGTGACTAACTCCACTAGTATGTTCCATGCTGTTCTACACTATTCAGCTTTACCCAGTAATCACTGCAATACTTCTGTGTTGATGCTCTTAGTCTTTTTACTTTGTATAGTTGATAGTCCCCATTTCTTATTTTTTTGATAATCTCAAATGCCGTACAGATTTTTTAGACTGTTGTTTTACTATCATTTTATAATTTATTGCACGGTAAACATGACTTAGATAACTATTACATGAAAATATATATTTAAATTACAAAGTATTTTTATGATATATCTTCGGTAAATAATACAATTTTTGCGACATTGTCCTTTCCTTATAATTTACATTCAAATATTTTAAAAATTGTTTAAAAGTAATATGCATGGATATTACAAAAATACTTTGGAAACCTGACTTGTGTCACTGACAGTCACGTGACTAATCTCTGATACTCTGATTACACCTAAATTTAAAACGGCGTGCTTTACATTTTTTTAGAAGTTGTGCGATGCCAAGTTCGTTGGCAGTACGTAAATCGAGAGGGAGGTTAGATTAAGTGATGTGCGCATAACGTGTGTCTACGAGTTGTGTTGAAAAAGGTTTTTAACGAAATGTTACATAAAATATTAACTACCTATTCGGTTCTGTTGTAGATTGGAGAGCTGGACCAATTTATGCCTAGCCGATCTCCGTTTCCCACTGAAAATTGTCGGTTTGGACATTGGCGAGGATAGTGTCTCTTGCCGCGTTATCTGCATAGAGACAGCGGGGCGTTCGCACTAGCTGACCGTTATCGAACCGCTGGTTGAGCGGTTTGGCTGTTCGGCTGGCTGTCAGAACACTGGCTGCGCGTACAGGGGCGCCACGGTTTTATCTACTTCGTTTGCTATCTGATGTTGATCGACAAAAGACGCCGTACAAGCTGTTGTTCTGGTAAACGGCAACGTCTTCGTGCTTCCAAACGTTGTTGATGAATATTGAATTCAATCAAAGTTTGCCGGCGACCCTGACGTGTTCTTTTTATGTTCCTCTCTAGCGTGTCCAGATATTATCGAATTCTTCGAATGAACCGGATAAATCCCGTCCAAGACATATTACTTTTTGATGGCTCGTCGCCATCCACATGTCCTGTCATTTAAGAACGGGATACGATATTCACCCACACTGCTGGGTGTATGTTGTCTTGACAGAGTAGAGGATCTACTGTGTAAAGCCTGTTGATACGATATTCAGATTAAGTAGCTTAGAGTCAAGCAAAACAATAATAAAAAATTAAGTAGTTAACAGAGGTTTTTATTCATTCAAAAAAATAAATAGCCAGATGGATTGGATCGAGAATAAAAAATTAACAAATCACAATAAACTTTTTTTATACTGAAACCTTAGATATTTCCTTTTAAAAACTTAAAAATTTATATAAAAGTAGAACTTTTGAACTTTAGAACTTAACTTTTGAAAATTTTCCGGAAATACTGCGTCTTTGAAGCATATGTCAAATTAAAGCTTATGTTGTATCTAAATCATTTTGTCGTCTATTTTCAAGTTTATTTTTTTAATAATGTTACATACTCTATTGGTTGAAATTCCTCAATGAATTCTTGTTTTAAAGCTGCCCATTTCCATGAGGCGAATTATTCAAGAAAAATGCTGGCCGTACCTTTAAGAAAAACGGATAAAAATTTTACCTTGTGAGTCCAACCTCTGACTTATCCTCCCTTGTCGTATTGTTTAAAAAATTGGCATACATCATCACTACCGTCAAAACATTCAGGTTTAATCATTAATGTTTTTAATACGTTTGTCATATTTTTATTCATTACGCTTTCCACCGTATTTTCAATTAAATTTATTTTACAGTTATTAGTATTTATGTTTCTGTTATCAGTTATTTTTACAAAATCGTTTTTTGATTCAGTATTAGAATTAAAATTTGAACTTGTTTCAATATATTTGTTTGTTACTTGAAAATTGGGAGAATTAAAACTATTTTGTGATAAGTTTATTTCTTCATAATCATTATGATCAGAAAAATTTACAATTTTTTTATTTTTAGCTATCTCTGCAAATAGGGAGTTAGTATAAAGACCGTTATTAAATAAATTATTACTGTATAAATATTCACTAGTATCTAAAAAATTGTCCATCCTTTCTACAATATGATCAGTGCTAACATTTTATTTATCACACAATACATAACATCCATTTAATAATGTGTCTGAAAGCCTATCTGGATTACTAGGTTCAGAATCTGAACTAGAGTTATTCAATCCTAAATCTCGTTCTATTTTCTTAAGATCAATTTTTTTTATTTGAAGATTCTTTTAGAATTAAATGTTTTTCTTCTAGAATTAATTTATTATCAATATCCTCTATTTTAATAATACCTTTATAGTATCAAGTTAATCTAAATCTTAATTCATCTACTTTCCCAGTATAATCTAATTTAAAATTTTCACATATAATTATTAACTCTGCTTTCTTTAAAATATATATATCGGTTAATCTCTTGATAGAGTTATTTATTTCAGATTCTCTGGTGTAGTTCATATCCCATTATAAACCAAAAAAAATTCAAACAAAATTAGTGCTGAATATCAACATAAAAATTCTTAAAATCGCATACAAACTTATGAAAACGTTATTATCAAATAATCAGAACAATATTACTAATCTTGATTTTTGACCTGGTTGAAATATGAAACTCTATTACAATATAAGTATGTCGTCGGAGTCGTGTGCTCGAGTCGCTAGTTGGGCGCCACTTTGTTGTATTTTAAATACGCAACAACCTTTTTGTTCTAACTTATAGTAATAAAAGTTCAATAATAGCGCACATTTAATTATTAAAGATTTAATTAGACAATGTAAAACATACAAAATAAAGATATACTTAAAACAGCATAAATAGATAATACACAAAATGAAAACTTAATGTCATAAACGTACCACGCAAAAAAAGATTACCTTCGGTACTGCCGATGTCTTCTCTTTTCTTTAATTCATTCAATTTCTTCTTATATACTAAAATATTTTCTTTTTCTTTTTTTTACAAAATTCATAATACAATCGTTTTCAAAAATGTTTATAAATATTTATTTCTTGTTCTAGTAACAATAATTCAGGGAATTACAATTAATCAAAATATTAGAATAATGTTTTATTTCTAGGTTTACAAATAATAGACTATAGTTTATTTAGAACAATAGATCAAGAAAATACAATTAAACCAAACAGTTTTACAAAATAATGACCTATATTACAACTATGAATTAAAAAAAAACAATTTGTCCTGACGACTTATCTTCTACGTGCCCTAGTAATGATTCCACCAATAAATATACAGTTTACATGAATCTAGCTTACATTAAATATAAATTTATACTTATTTTGCTTCTTCAAAATTAAG